GCTGGTCTATATTTTGTCATTTTTTTTGCATTATTTGTCATTTTTAACTATAAATTATAATTCCAATGATCAGTGTCAGCTTATTAATATTAAATTTGTCTTGTATAAATAATGTACTTATTACTAAAAGATTTTTTTAAATTAAATTACAACTTTCCGCGAAAGTAGATTATGTCAAACGAATCTATTAAAGTTGCATTAGAAAATGACTAAAGTGAGAGAAGGTTGGCCCTCCGCGATCTCCAGGAAATGTCAGAGACCGTCTCTCACTTAAGGCTCCTAAACAGAATGAAGAATGGTGAGAATAACTTGAGAGTGAAGATGGTGTACCTGGCAAGGGGCGAGAATGAGGTGAGGGTAGACCTCTGGAATTGAAAACAGAAGGTAATTGTGAGGAGAGGCGAAATAGCAGTGTCTTAAGGTCACAAGTCAGGTGCCAAATTGATCGGTACTGGAGTCTAATCTGTTCTTAAAATATATGTCAAGGATGTGACAGAGGAAATAGGGTCGTTCACATTCGTGTTTGCAGATGCTGATTGTGGGAGTTAACAAGGAGACCTAAAAGTGCCTCAGAGATGGTTAGAAAGATGGTTGTTTGAATTTAACACTGGCAAATGTAAAGTAGTGAGGACAGGAGTGGAAGTAATTAGGCTCTATAGGCTGCACAGCTTGAAAAGGAGACAACTCTAGACTTGGAAAAACAAAGATCTGAGAATACAGAACCACCTTCGCCCCCAGCCCTGTCTCTTGAGGACTGTGCAACAAAACAATGTCTGCAACGCACATATATAAAGGTGGAAAATGTTCGAGTAGCTTTCAGAAACCTAGACTAAGAGGCCTTCACATTACTGTATTCACCCTACATAATGCTGACCTCTTGAGCAGACTTCAGTCTGCAGTCCCCACCTTAAAAACCACAAACTAAAATAGAGGGAAAAAGATCCAAACATATACAACACTACATATGTTTGAGCTGAGAGGCTTTATGTTTGAGCTGAGAGGCTTTATGTTTGTGCTGAGAGGCTTTATGTTTGAGCTGAGAGGCTTTATGTTTGAGCTGAGAGGCTTTATGTTTGTGCTGAGAGGCTTTATGTTTGAGCTGAGAGGCTTTATGTTTGTGCTGAGAGGCTTTATGTTTGAGCTGAGAGGCTTTATGTTTGAGCTGAGAGGCTTTATGTTTGAGCTGAGAGGCTTTATGTTTGAGCTGAGAGGCTTTATGTTTGAGCTGAGAGGCTTTATGTTTGAGCTGAGAGGCTTTATGTTTGAGCTGAGAGGCTTTATGTTTGAGCTGAGAGGCTTTATGTTTGAGCTGAGAGACTTTATGTTTGAGCTGAGAGGCTTTATGTTTGAGCTGAGAGGCTTTATAACTATAAGAGCACTCGCCTCACCACGTTGGAATCTAGACGAAACAGGAGATATAATGATAGCCTACAATATATTGAGAAGAATGGACATAGTGGAGAAATATGCTATAGCCAAAATGAGAGAGTGAGCCAGAGGCCACAAGTGGAAACTAAGAGCCACAGATGAGCAGGAAATATGCCGGGGGGAAAAAATTCTTGCAAGAAAAGATTGTAGAGGCATTTTTTCTTTGCCCCGTTCTGCCCTGGCCACATCAACGGGTAGAGGGACTAGGCCACATCGGCGGGTACAGAGGCTAATATATGCCCTACTAGTATAAATACGAACGGCGGAGAGTCAATAATGTCTCTCTCGAAATGGTTCGAAATTATGAGTAAATCAAAACCTAAACAGCAGAAATGTTTAGCTGAAGGAATTCCAAGCACGCGCGGGCGCACACACTTGCATCAACACGGCCGTCGGTATGAACCCTGATGTGGGTCAGTAGTCCGTGGTTCCTGTGGGCATGAGTACGAGTGACTGGAGCTGTTGGTTCGAGACGGGTGACTTATGTGATGGCAGCGGATCGATTGTGAGGAGGACGGCAGCGAGACGCTATGATGATAGTGTATGGTTGAGCGGCGAGGGTGACACTCTACAGAGAGTGACACTCGCACTTCACCGCTTGTGGAGGCCGCCTGGGGCCAGGAAATTGACAGGGACCCACTTCTGTCCCCCCTCCATCTCCTCGCCCCTCCCGTCAACCTACAAGGCCACCGCCGCCCAGCTCCCGACGGATGCAAGGTCGCCTGCCATGACTGGGACAAAGCCGGTTCAATACATCTGTGTGGCGCCTTTGAGTCTACAGCTAGAATAATTGCGACTGTGTACCAGTTGTGGAATTATCCGTACACACACACCTGCAGCGGGCATTTCCGAGGCTCGATATACCAGCTGCGCGTCTGTAAGCATACCTGGAATGAGTTTCGGGAGTTCTTCTACTTCCGAAGCCCGGCCTGGGGCCTGGCTGCTAGATTGTACCTGGATGAGGTTCTGGGAGTTCTACTACTCCCCAAGCATGGTCAGGGGCCAGGCTTGACTTGTGAGAGTTTGGTCCAACAGGCTGTTGCTTGGAGCGGCCACAGCTGCTAGCCCAAGATGAGATGCCTCACGCCAACAGCTGGTGGCCCAAGAGCCTCGTGCTTCTCTATGAAAACCTATACCCACAATATATAATCCATATATGAAATACTGATCAGAAACCCCCCTAACTCCTCTTAAAAAAATACAAAATTAATACTAAAATAAAGACCTTTTAACAGTATATGAAAACATGTACGAAGTTACACACAGAGATCACACTAACGTGATGCATCAAATGAACAAATCCACAAGGTAGCTCAGTCGATTAAGGCAGTGTCTGGGATGCTCCCGGACGCAAGTTCGAATCCTCGACACGGCCCTTGTGGATTTGTGTATATGTGAATACTACAAAGTGAAATAGATGGGAAAAACCTCGCACACACTCGCAGCTTCCCTTACAAGAGAGACCAAGCTTAGCTTAGCTGTCAAACACATCCCACATCGTGTCAGCAAGGCGGACAGCCTGCTATCATAACTCAAACTATATTTCGCATTTCCAAACTTTTTCCCTTCTACTGTGCCCCTACAAACTCTTTACTGCCTCCCACCCTTCTACCCCATCCTCCAAAAATGAAGGCTGTCTGGGAACACTGCATGAGTTGTGCGGGGGATTCGGTGGGGGAAAAGGGGAGTGTTCAGGGGATTCGGTGGGGGAAAAGGGGAGTGTTCAGGGGATTCGGTGGGGGAAAAGCCGAGTGTTCAGGGGATTCGGTGGGGGAAAAGCCGAGTGTTCAGGGGATTCGGTGGGGGGAAAAGGGGAGTGTTCAGGGGATTCGGTAGGGGAAAAGGAGTGTGTTCAGGGGATTCGGTAGGGGGAAAAGGGGAGTGTTCAGGGGATTCGGTGGGGGGAAAAGGGGAGTGTTCAGGGGATTCGGTGGGGGGAAAAGGGGAGTGTTCAGGGGATTCGGTGGGGGGAAAAGGGGAGTGTTCAGGGGATTCGGGAAGGGGGAGGTAGAGGGGACGGGGGAGGTGGAGACACTTCTGGGCTGTAGTGACAGTGAATCATGCCCCAGACTCACCGGTAATTAGCAGCCTTGCCCTCTTGACCCCCGCGGGAGGTCATCCAGGAGTACCATTACCAGTGTCAACACCCTCAAGGCTACCCTGGAAAGTGCGTCATCACCCGCAACCTGTCCAAAACCATTCTCCAGCACACATTACGCTCTGCTTCCTATACCCCCTTTTCCAGTGCATCTCGCTTCATGCAGGTCGGCGTTCAATCCCCGACCGTTCAAGTGGTTGGGCACCATTCCTTCCCCCCCCCCTCCCCCGTCACATCCCAAATTCTTATCGTGACCTCTTCCAAGTGCTATGTAATTGTATGGGCCTGGCGCTTTCCCCTGATTAGATCAGGGGAAATCTTTCGATTGGATACAGAATTTCTCGATGCTTGGAAAGAGAATTACACGTAGCTTGGATACAAAAAATTCTCGCTTAAAAATAATCATTTAAATATAGAATTCCTCACTAAAAAAAATAATTCCGCGATTGAAAAAGTAGTTCTCACAAAAAATAAAAAAATAAAAATGAATTTACTTTATTGCTTACAAAAATAAACCCTTTGAGTTCCACACTTCAAAATAATTTATGGCTTAAAAAGAATTTATAGCTTAAAAATGAATGCCTTGTTAAAAAAAAAATTCTCGTTTAATAAAGAATAACACTTAAATAAGGAATTCCTCGTTAGCTTGGCTAAGGAACCACCTCGTTTCACCCAGTACTCCTCGTTACCAGGCTAATGACAGTCACCACCAATACACACACACAAGGAAAGTCTCCTTTGTCACCCCCCTTACCGGCTTCAGGTAATGTAAAGCGAAAACCATGACACCTTGAGGTTATCTTATTAGTTACATACACCTGTCTTAACTGAGCCTTCCACGTGATATGATGATGATTCCTCGTTGAAGTGCATCATATATTGTGCAATTTCCTACAACATAATTATCCTATTGCATGAAGAACCTCTGCTCGATCTGACTGCTTGAAGTACTTCCGGAATTCATGCTTGTTACAACAAGCTGTAACAACTTTTGTATATGTAATCACGTTAAGTATTACTCGTGCGAGACTGTGACAAACAGGCGCGTTTCACCCATATTACTTATACTTATTTATAAGACACTTGCTATCTATTTTGTAAGTTTTAGTACACAATTAAGTTGCCAGCTTCCTTGTGCACTAAAATCACTACAGCCGAGCTTGTGTAATTACGTAAGTGTAGTTACAGGATGAGAGCTACGCTCGTGGTGTCCCGTCTTCCCAGCACTCTTTGTCATATAACGCTTTGAAACTACTGACGGTCTTGGCCTCCACCACCTTCTCACCTAACTTGTTCCAACCGTTTTCTATTGAAAAGTGTGTGTCCTACTTGTTGTTAGCGTGCAGGTGTTTGGTCTGTGCAGTACCTTAATATAACTTATGCCGATGATTTGTTGCACACTTTAATATTTTGTATATATATATATTACTGTTTAAAAGTAACACGCATTACCTGTTGATTATTTTCTCGGCAGACTGGGCAGCAACAAGGAGCCGTCAGACACGCCGCCTTCAACGATGACCTTCGCGTACCGCCTCTTCCTTCTTTCTTCCGCTGCCACTTCGACTTCGAAGAAAACGAGAAGAGGGTGACGCCGCCGCGATGTCCACAGCTCTCAGCCTCCCCGTCAGCATTCTTCGGTGAACCTTCCACTTAGCTACCGCGCCTCTGGCCACTCGAACACATTCCCCTTGACGCAAACGTCTCCGGAAGAACTTTCACGGATAAGCGACACATATGTGCATTTGCTTAACTGGCAAGTGAACAGATGTGAACAACAAGTGAACTCGTGACGCAATTACTGCCTGATGATTTTCTGGTCAATTAGCGAACAGCATCGTAATCCCTCGTCCAATCAGCAACTGCAGCAGCCGTGACGTCATCGCTGCCTCTTGATTTGGTTGGTCGGCATCAATCAAGACCGCGAATTCATATCCAATTGGCACTTGGAGTTGCCGTAACGTCAGGATGGGTAACCAGAGCAGCAGCAGCAGAGCGGGCGTCTCTCAACCGCCCTTGAACTGGACCCAAAGCTTCCCCAGAGAGAACAAACGTCTCAAGAAATATGGAGCTACGTCTGACACCAAGGTAAGAGGCTTAATTAAGAACAGTAAAATATAATAAATGTTAGCGTAAATAATAATTATTATTATAATATATATATATATATATATATATATATATATATATATATATATATTATATATATATATAACTGAAAACTCACACCCCAGAATATTGCAGTATTATATGCAGACAAGTTGCATATTGTCCTGGGGACCATTCAGGCTTGTTCGCATATATATATATATATATATATATATATATATATATATATATATATATATATATATATATATATATATATATATATATATATATATATATATATGGTACAGGTGTAGATGTGGGCAGGTGCAGGTGTGGGCAGGTGCAGGTGTGGGCAGGTGCAGGTGTGGGCAGGTGCAGGTGTGGGCAGGTGTAGGTGTGGGCAGGTGTGGGAGTACCGCCCCCCCCCCCCTCCGCCTGAGACACGCTCTCAGCCATGACCCACATCGACAGAAAGCTATCACAACGCCCCTAAAGAATTATAATCAAATACAATTTATTTATGATGAAACTGCAATTGCATATTCAGCATTTGCCATCATTACTGCACTGAGACCCGGCGTTGGCACACACACACACACGCAGTCACACACACACGCAGTCACACACACACGCAGTCACACACACACACAGTCACACACACACACAGTCACACACACACAGTCACACACACACACAGTCACACACACACACACAGTCACACACACACACACAGTCACACACACACACAGTCACACACACACACAGTCACACACACACAGTCACACACACACACAGTCACACAGTCACACAGTCACACAGTCACACAGTCACACACACACACACACACACACACACACACACACACACACACACACACACACACACACACACACATCCAATATTGCATTGTTGAACTAAGGATTTAAGCAAAATATATGGCATTCCATAAAGTATATGGCAAAATATATCTACATTACAAAAATTGTCATCTTTTCTAGTTTATAAATAAACAATTACTAATAAAATACAGAGAACCCTATAGCCATCAGTCTCTTTATAAGTTGTATTTTGAACACGGCCGTAAGTTAGGTGAGGTCCACAACAACTTCCACAAAGTCATGTTAACGGAATGGTGATGAGGAGAGAGATTTTGGAGGCGAAAATAAGGAGGATGAATAAGGAAGCTAAAGAAGAATGATGGAAAGGGAAGAGATGGCGAAGAAGAAATAATAAAATATAGTTAATTGTTTTGTTCTTTGACCATTACTGTCTGCCAGGTACTGCTTGAAAATATACTACCAAATTATAGTAATGTTCAGAGAAGCAATAGACTCTAAATTGAAGAATATTTTCTAATGTAACATTTTTAACAGGTGCTGCCACAAAGGATTCCTGGACAGCGTCTGCGCCCTACGGAGAACGGTCACATATTACAGACGAAGGGCACCATCACCGCCAAACGGATGGCCGAATTCCACCCGCCACACCATCCAGCTTTCCCGCCGCCCCTGGTCCTCGGCCCGCACCAGCAGCACCTCCACCAGCCACACACGGCCTCCCTGACCACCCTCCACTACCCGCACCCTCACGACGAGCGGGCGGCCTCCATACACGACCTCAGGTTTGGACGACCACCCTCCAAGAATTACGCCAGTGAGCCAGACCTGAGAGGGCCGTCACCTCCCACGAGCGCTGCTTCTCCACCTCCCCACACTATTATCAGTCAGTCGCCAACCAAGGGCAGAATAAAGTCAAAGAAAAAATATAAGGCACCTCCAGTCCCTATTGGAGGGATGGGCGACTCTCATTCCCTGCCTCGCAGTGCGGAAAGGTCGCACTCACTGGGTGATGTGACTTATCAGGCGTCCCAGAACCATTGGCCAACCCCATGTGCCGTCCATTTTGCTGAACATATAGACAGCAGTCCAGAGCCAAAAGTGCCCAAAACTCGTAAAATGGGTCTCTTCCGTAAAAAGAACGAGTCTCGACGAACGTCTGTAGCAGACGAACCTCGCAATTCAAGGGAACAGCCAGACAGAGGACGAGCAGCCAGTGAGGAAAGACACATAAGCTCTTCAGATCGTTCATCTCCAAGAGATGAGCTTCGTGAGCGTGCTCGGAGTCTGGACTCCCTGCAGCACGAGCTGCGTCATTCTCCCGTGTCTTCCCCAGTGCCAGTTGCAACTACAAGCTTAACTCAGCTTCACCAGTCTCAAGAGCAACGCTTGTGGGCAACCCTCGAAAGGGGTTCTAGACGGTCAGTCGCCCAAGAACCCGATTCAAGGCGAAGCAGCACCATTGAACGAGAATCTAGAAAGTCTGGTAGAGATTCCAAAAGAAGCAGCACTCTGGAAAGAGATCCACAGAAGTCTCTCCGCAGGATGAGCACCTTGGAACGAAAGGTGGAGGAGAGAAAGCAGAGTGCAGTGGAGGGACGTGATAACTCCACCCCGTTGTCCCCCACACGCACGTCCCGCCTCGACTCATCTCACCACCGTTCATCCTCCAGCGGGTCTCATCATGAATTAATTCTGGAGGAAAATGAGAAACGCATTGTTGATGAGGTGTGGGATCAGGCTCAGTCAAAAATAGTCATTCAGAAAAAGAAAGAAAGTGGGAAGGGCACTGGTGATGAATGGGACAAGGTAGAAGGACAGGTAAATCAGCGTAAGAAAATATCTGCAAGTCTTCAAGCAGAACTCTTGCAAACTGTTAATAATCTAAGAAAAACCTCCACAGAACAAGAACCTAAGCCGTCCACACTGACTCGAAAAGGCAGAGAGAGTGAAAAACGCACATCTAAGCCCATTTTGCAGCCATCCAGTCCAAGAGGTAACATAGCTGAGCAAAACGAGTCACAGCCCAAGACCTTCTTCTTTGGAATGGAGCCGGAGGTGTCCAATGTCTCTCGAAGCAAGGCCAATTCAGGTCTCCACAAAATAAAAAATCAGGAAGAAGCGGCCAAAAACACAAATCTGGAAGAGGTGCACATTACTGGCCAGACTGTTGAATACACACGTCACATCCTGGAACGTGTTGAGAGGAGTCGCAGCCGCAGTGCTCGCCGGGAGAGTCAGAGAGCCAGCGAGTCTCAGCGTAAAGCCATCGATGAGCCTGACAGTCGCACTGATCAACGCAAGATTTCCAGGGACGTAGAGGAGTTTGCCGTCGCTATTGAGCGTCACAAGATGAGACACGCAGATGGTGAAAGGTCAGCCAGTGGGTCTTCTCGACGCGAAGATGGAGGTTATCATTCTAGACAGAACTCTGGCAGTCTGTACTTGGACAATGAGCACGATGTTAGGGTAGAAGGTGAACTCTGCATGAACCTAAGACCGACACTTCCACGCAGACAGTTTGAAATTCCTAGATTTAGTCCGAATGCTGCATGGCGTTCCCTGAGCCTAGAACGTGTTAGTAAGCCTCAAGAAACACTGGACGAGACACGAAGTAGTGAAGAGCCAGACTCAGTGTGTGAGGCAAAAATACAGAGATTCACTCGACCAACAGCGCCCCCTCGAGGCTCTGGCGAAAAATCTGCCGATTCAGGCATCTCGGGTGATGCTGGAAGTCCTGGGCCCACACACGAGTTTGAGCCTCTGATTCACACTGAGAAAACCAAGAGCTCCTCTGGACCCCTGGCAGCATCCTCACCCGTAGCCTCAGGCCTGCCTGAGGTACGACGTGCCTGGACACCTGCCCAAGACCTGGATGACAATAGTCTCGACAGCAACAGAGAGCCCACTAACCTCCCAGAGGGACTCTCCACACCTCCCAAACTTACATCACGTTCTAACATGTTCCCAAAATCTCAGGAACGGACACCTGAGCCAGAAACAGAACCTGAATCTCCGATTGAAACAGAAACTATATCGGAACTCGTGTCTTCTGATAAAAAAGATCACTGGACAAGGCGCAAGAAACGAAATGGTGTGGATATAATTCCCCACAAATTCAATAGTTTACGCAAATTGAAACGTACAGTCACAGGTGCCATCTCAGGACTAGGCATCAAGGGTCCTATTGTGGAAGATCACCATCAAAGCGGAACACCCGAAGAGTCGCAAGTTCAACATCACACAGAAGACCCCAACTGGCGAGACAACTGGTCCATGTCCCGCTCCATTCCCAATTCGCTCAACACCTGTGAGGAACAGGACACAGCCAGCAATTTATCCAGTAACCGGAACCCCAGAAGCAGGTCCGAGTCGCGGCTGGCTGCAGGCGGGGGCGAAAACTCTCAAGAAGACTCGCGATCTCGCACGCCCTCCTATCTCCAGTATGGCAACTCGGGCCACATCATGTACCTTCCCGAGTACAACTCTCGACGGATGAGTCGAGAGGAAGTGGGCAGTGAGGACGAGTCTGATCACCACCACAGCCTCCGACACTCAGGTCGGCCCGCGACACCTGATCACGAACGCAAGCCTCCATCAGGTGAGTTTTCCTACGAACTTATATTTGTGGTCTAGCCAGATATCTATTTGGTTTCCGTAATGAAAAAATCTATATAAACATATAAAATGCGCTTTAAGATATATTTATTTAATTTAGAGTAGTGTGATATATTAAATATATGCCTTGGCAATCAGTCAAAATGGATTTTGCTAATCAGGTGTGGCTATCAGGTAATTTTGTATCCAAAACTTTTATATGAATATGTAGAGGCACTGAATCTCATCCACCTCTCGATCTATTGAGACTATCTGAAGACCCTTTATAGCTATATGTTCCTTTATAGCTATAGATAATTGCTCAAACCATGCTGTGTTAATACTAATAAACTGGGGCACCTGCCAGTCCAATGCCTAATATTGTTACAATCCAGCTGACCTCGAGTCGTTACTTCAGGTGACGAAGACCCAGCGCTGCCGGAGACCTACCATGGACCTTCCTCCCTCCCAACCTCCCTCCAGCACTCGCACGCTGCTCTGGCAGCCTCCAGGAAGGCCAAGAGTAAAAAGTTCTCGTACCAGAGCACCGTCAGGATCCTAGAGAAGAGGAAGCTGGAGGAGAAGCTGACGAGGGAGGTGGCCGAGAAGGAGAGGCAGAGACTGAAGGAAATAGAAGCCATGAAAAAGGTTAGGCTTTATATACTGTGCTGTGCGCCCAACCACTTGGGCTGGACGGTAAAGCGACGGGCTCGCTTCATGCAGGTTCAATTCCCGACCGTCCAAATGGTTGGGCACCATTCTTCCCCCCTCGTCCCATCCCAAATTCTTATCCTGACCCCCCTCTTCCAGGTGCTATATAGTCGTAATGGCTTGGCGCTTTCTCCTGATATGTTGTTGTTGTTGTTATAGATTCAGCTACTCAGAACAAGTTCCAAGTAGCACGGGCTATGGTAAGCCCGTAACTTACCTGGCACAGGAGCCTTCTTCTGATAATTCTCTTCCCTTTATATACTGTGTTCAGCAGCATCTTGTCCTCTATCTTTTAATGATAATGCCAACCATAATTATCAATAAAGCTTTAAGTATCCACTTTTCATGCTTCCGTCAGAAGCAGCACTTTATGCTCGCTGACTACTGGGGCCTAGAGGTTAGTGCAGCTGGGAGGGGGGGGGGCATAGCTAATAGGTCCCATGTTCAATTCTAGTGGTGGGATAAAGCGTTTGGGCAATGTTTACTCTCACCTGATGCTACCGTTCACTTCATGAGCCACTGCTGACCTTCCCCCAAGATGCAACTCAAGAGTTGCATCTTGGAAACTATATGTATTCGTTTTGTTTTTAAATAATTAAAATTAGATTACAATCATAAAATTATAAATTTGTGAAAGTTCTTTGGAGATTTAGGTCCAAGTTTCACGACTCTGGAAGAAGAGAGATCCATTAGATTTTCTTTCTTGACTGCGGTTGATGCCGTCACAAAGTACATACAGTATACAGAGTCAAAAACGCTAGTTGTAGATGGTTGTTCATTTATACTCGAGTTTGAGTACATTTGAGTACACGTAACAAACGTACATGTAACATTATGTACTCGTAATTATTATGTAAACAGAGAGCGTGCAGGTGATGCACCGAGACGCAATAGTTAGGTTATCTTGAGATGATTTCGGGGCTTAGCGTCCACGCGGTCCGGTCCTCGACCAGACCTCCTTTTTGTTACAACCCCCCCTCCCCAGGAAGCAGCTCGTAGCAGTTGTCTAACTCCCAGGTACCTATTTACTGCTAGGTAAAGGGGGGCATCAGGGTAGAAGAAAGATTTTGCCCATTTATCTCCACCTCCACCGGGGACCGAACCCGGAACCTCAGGACTACGAATCCGTAGCGCTGTCCACTCAGCTGTCAGACGCCCTGAGAGCCTGCTTGTTCTTTATATACTGTGTAAGTTAGTTGCATGGAGTACACAGTGCTATATTATATTATATTATATATATATATATATATATATATATATATATATATATACACATACACATACACTGTAAGCTTAATGTCCAGTTATGGCGACAGATTCTAATATTGATTATAATATTCACCACGGCTCTGCAGGTGGAAGAAGAATTCCAGAGGAAGAGGGAGAGAGAGAAGAAGAAGGTGAAGCAGCAGCTGAAGCTGTTCCAGATGCAGCAGAAGCACAGCAGTAGAGACGTACACAATACCTCGTACTCCAGCGACGACCACGCCCCCTCCTCCTACTCCTCGGAGCAGAACGAGGTGTCAAGCCAAGCATCGTCCCAGGCACCCCCTCTACCTCCCTCTCCAACACCACTGGTATGTCCCTACCTCCCTCTCCACCACCTCTGGTATGTCCCTACCTCCCTCTCCACCACCACTGGTATGTCCCTACCTCCCTCTCCACCACCACTGGTATGTCCCTACCTCCCTCTCCACCACCACTGGTATGCCCCTACCTCCCTCTCCACCACCACTGGTATGCCCCTACCTCCCTCTCCACCACCACTGGTATGTCCCTACCTCCCTCTCCACCACCACTGGTATGTCCCTACCTCCCTCTCCACCACCTCTGGTATGTCCCTACCTCCCTCTCCACCACCACTGGTATGTCCCTACCTCCCTCTCCACCACCACTGGTATGTCCCTACCTCCCTCTCCACCACCTCTGGTATGTCCCTACCTCCCTCTCCACCACCACTGGTATGTCCCTACCTCCCTCTCCACCACCACTGGTATGTCCCTACCTCCCTCTCCACCACCACTGGTATGTCCCTACCTCCCTCTCCACCACCACTGGTATGTCCCTACCTCCCTCTCCACCACCACTGGTATGTCCCTACCTCCCTCTCCACCACCACTGGTATGTCCCTACCTCCCTCTCCACCACCACTGGTATGTCCCTACCTCCCTCTCCAACACCACTGGTATGTCCCTACCTCCCTCTCCACCACCACTGGTATGTCCCTACCTCCCTCTCCACCACCTCTGGTATGCCCCTACCTCCCTCTCCACCACCACTGGTATGCCCCTACCTCCCTCTCCACCACCACTGGTATGTCCCTACCTCCCTCTCCACCACCACTGGTATGTCCCTACCTCCCTCTCCAACACCACTGGTATGTCCCTACCTCCCTCTCCACCACCACTGGTATGCCCCTACCTCCCTCTCCAACACCACTGGTATGTCCCTACCTCCCTCTCCACCACCACTGGTATGTCCCTACCTCCCTCTCCACCACCTCTGGTATGCCCCTACCTCCCTCTCCACCATCACCACCAGTGTGTTCCTACCCTCTCTCCCAACATCACTGGTGTAGGTTTACCTCACTCTCCCTACACCATCTACACCCCTTTATATCGATGCCTTGTATCAGTGAAATCACACAATTTCCTCTACTCAATGCTTTACCATCACAGACAAATATGTAAGTAATTATCAAATAAGAGCACAAAGCCGGAAAGGCTATATTGCCAACCTGTCCTCTTAAAAATAACGTCGCTTTTGGCCGTTTGCCCGTATGGCCGAATATGGACATAATTTGAAAATGAAAAAAAAATGAATATAAATTTGGGATTTTTGTTTTTAACAACAGTAAGTTAAGGGTCCTCTGATAGGTTAGGTGGGCAGGAAATTCTCATAAAGTTTCAAAACGGTATGAAAAACGTTAATGGAAAGTTGCCTCTTCTAAGCTTGCCGAGTAAGCCGGACGACTCAACAGAAAACGGAACAGTACGTCACTTTTGTGAGTCGATTTCATTTCAAATTACGTCTAAATCTGGCCATAGCGCGCATACCAACCAAAAGTGACGTTATTTTTAAGAGGACGGGTTGATATAGCACCTTCACAGACAAGTATGCCAACCCTTAATTAAACACCATCAATGACTTGTACCAAAGTCTCCTACGGCACTCAAATTGATCATGTTCTTTACCAGTTGATCCTCTCATACAGAAATTAAAACAAATGAACCTGGAAGGCTTTTGTAAATATTAAGTCTGTCAATAATGATATATTGAGTAGCTAAAGCTAGTATGTAGTTTGTGTGCAATAATAAATCAAAATAGGATATTTTGTTATTAATGTCAAAGTAACTAATCAAGAAGGCACCAAGTTGTTACACAAGTCTTCATTGCTGGGTACCTTTCCTCGAGACATAGTTAGGCATTAATGACATGATACATGCAGATAGTGGCAACGTTATGCATGTTAAACTGGTAAACAAAATGTGTTATGAGATAAATGAGTGACTTTCATTACTAAGGCAACATTATATTTTCAGACGTTCTCGCCCTTCGCCTCCCTCCCTCCCGAGTTATCTGCCGAGACTTCCCCAGGTCTCCTCTCTGGTCTGAAGAGCTGGGTGCGTAGCAGGAAGGAGAGTCGCTCCTCTGCCTCTTCCACTACCCTCACCTCCGCCCCGAGACAGGAGCCTGACGGAGCCCCAGCTTCCTCCCCGAGCAAATCCAGTGACGACTACAGCGGGTCCAGCTCTTCCTCACGGAAAAACAGTACTGAAGACGTTGAACAGTTGAAAGCAAATTTTCGATCCGAGATCATCGCTGCCTCAAGAAAGCGCAATGCAGACAGCCCCACCAGCCAAGAAAGTTCTTCAAGCCAGCACAACCTCCAAAGGAAGAACATCTATAACCATCTGAGCGAGGTGGCCAGGCGTGAGGCGCAACGATCTCGCCACAAGACTTACCAGCAGGAAGTGGTTCGCTCCAACCACCAGAAACCCGCCAAGCACCGCCAGAAGGATGACCTCCGCTCCTCTCAGTCTCCAGAGGTCCGCCGACTGATGCAGGAGCTGCCGGAGTTGCACCAAGAGCGGCGGGAGTACAGGGAATACCGGAGTTCCTCACGGCACTCCCAGTCACCGTCCGCCCTCCCACCAAACAGTGAGTGCCTTAAAATAACACTTAACATTGTCTCGATCCTCCCTTGCCGTATCCTAACCCACTTCCAAGTGCTAATATAGTCGTAGTGGCTTGGCGCTTTCCCCCTGATAGTTCCCTTCCTTTTAATCCCCCCCGATTAGTGCTTTTGAAATGTCCGAGTCTCATTGTAAACAAAACAGTAATTTCAGGTTCTGGTAAGTCTTTGTAAATTTTAGCTAAAATTAAGTGAACGCTGAATTTGTCGTTTTTTTGTCATCGTCTTCAGTACCATTATCATTATTTTGCCGTCGTCGACATCATCGTTAGCTCCATTACAATTTTCGCTCATTTCAAAACCTATTGATCCACTGTGATTGGTCGTTACAGCGACAGCCTCACTTCTTAAATGGTCGATGTTCCAAGATGTTGGGTCCTGTACCTTCACTCTGCCCTTCTATCCCTTCCTAGTGCTATGTATTCAAACTGGCTTAGCGTTTTCTCTTCGTAATTAATGTACCTTCTCCCTAAAGCCTCGATCACCATTCCTATTTCCTTGGAGCACCAGCCTGAGAAACTGAGACATCACACCAGAAGCGGGAAACATCTACCGTGTAGTCCCCTCTTAAGTCTGTCTCTGTCACCTTACCACCACCACAAACATCTTAATATGCATCCTTGTCATAGACTGTCGTCTTTAATAATAAAATGCTCATTTAGCACTTGTGTCCCCCAGGTCCCCCTGCTTCCATCAGCCCCAGCAAGAGCAGCAGTAACTACCGCCGAGACTTCTGCCTGGGTAACGCCCAGGCGACGGCTCCGACTGTGGCGCCAGTGAAGGCCAAGCGCTCCGACGAGAGTGACAGATATTCCAAGTGAGGACGCTTATAACCTTCTGTTTACCATACCAAATAATGCAATATTTGCTTATATCGATAATCTCGCCTAAAAAGAGGTTCTATTATGATTTCAAGTACATTATCACCGGTCTGCTAGTGAGATGAGGGAATGCTTATTAAGAACAAGGGAGTTCTTACTCAGAAAAAACAGTCTATTGCATTAACCTTAGACTGAATAACCTCTGCTAAATTATGAATGCCTCATAAACAACAGAACTGTCAACTCATGACCTCTAACCCCCGGGCAGGCACTCGAGTGATGACCGACGGTCCGTGAGCAGCAGCGGAGTCCACCGCAGTGCCTCTGTCGACCTGCTGGAGACGGGCTCGTGTTCGTCGTCCTCCACCGCTCGTCACCACCACCAGTCATCTCACCACCTCGCCGACTCCTCCCTCACACACGGCAGGGTCAGTCTACTAAAACATCTCGGGGGGACCTTTCCTAATACTAATATAGGGAGCAGTATTTGCCATGGTGACACATGATAGCGCGATAGCGATAGCGCGTAACACATGATAGCGCGTTAACCGCTAAGTTAATCGCATGCAAAGCGTGAGAGGGGCTAGGGGGGGCCTTCCCACGCCTTGCGAGCAATTTTCTGGTGTTCTAGCCTCGAGCAGGGAGGATCGATTGGGCACTGATCCTTAACAATTCGCCTCTGTTCACCCTGCAGTAATTATAACTGGTTGTACATGCGGCTCAGGATTGGGTACAAATATTACTTCCAATTGATAGTCGAGAATAAACTCTACTGTAGGAGCTGCCTCGTGTGGGCCAACTGGCCTCTGCTGTTTCATACATGTTGTATACAATTATGAAATAAAACGTTATATATCAACTGAGTCAACGGGAATAGGGCATTATACACATTGCCCTGTGTGTATAATTACCTCGTCCGTTGTCAGGGACAGGAAAAAAAAAACGGGTATTTAAGCTTACCGAGGTCACCCACCCACCCCCCCTTGGTCAACCTTCACCAGATTGCAACTTATAAAAGTCGCCGGCCTCCCAGGGTACCTATTTACACATAGGTGAACAGAGGCATAAGATAGAGGGAAACATGCCCAACCGTTCGTAGGTACAGACATATTTAATTACATAAAACCACTAATTACGTACATCATTCACGTGAGTAGGCAATCAGTAATTCACGTTATTATTTTCTATTAAACTGTGGAGTAAAACTATATTAATATGTAGAAAGAAATTGTTTTCCCAAGTCAGCAATTGAATTTTTTCTTTTTTTCAGATGGGCGGCTACTCACCGGTCGACAGCAGTCCAGCTAGGTTCGCTCACAGGATTATGACTCCCTTCAGTCCTGTCAAAGGCTACAGGCCTGTCTCCTTCAGCCCTCCTCCACCAACTAAGATTCTTCCCGTAAACTAACCTTCGTCTGTAACGAAAAAAACAAACAAAAAATGTATACAACGAATTTGGTATAGTTTACGCTAGTATGTAACAGAAAACAATGCCCTACTTCTTTACATTAAAGAAAACGTTATCAGCTTTAGTACAACAAGTGCGATAACTAAAAGAAACCACAAGGATTTATGTTTAGTGAAATGTCAGATTCTTAGCAAGAGAATAGCTGGCAAACTATAGCTATTAGAAAGGAATGGAATCAGTGTGCCAAAATGTAAACAGAGTTTGTTAACAAGGAATGAAATACAATTGTTTATATAGTTATTTAATGTAAAAATGAAAGTGGGGAAAACTGCACGGTGATGTAGATTGTTGATTTGTACATACTCGCCAGTATTAGCTTTATATTGGGACATGTTCACCTCATGCAAAGCTAACTTTTGAAGGTTCTGAGCTTTAACGTTTCCGTCCTGTGAGTGTGTTTACTTGTGTAGGTGACTGGTAGCGTGCCTGCGCCTTCATGCGATGGTGCGAACATGCAGAAATGTGGAGAGATAAATGTCAAGGGTTCGAGTGAGTGAGTGAGTGAGTGAGTGAGTGAGTGAGTGAGTGAGTGAGTGAGTGAGTGAGTGAGTGAGTGAGTGAGTGAGTGAGTGAGTGAGTGTGTGCGCGCGCGCGTGTGTGTAGTGTGTGTTCTCTCGTGAGTAAGCATACTTAAACATGCATAATTTTACGCTTTGTACACCTATATACTGACACAGTTATCACAACACATGACTTAAATGTTCGCCACTAATGACGAACCATATAGTTGACATATTGACTTGCCACTCTGGACGACATGCTCGTCACTCAAATCAGTCAGGTTAAACACCTTTGGGTGTAGCCAGTAACTGGACGAGTGACACTATTGATAAAAGTCGTCCTGGGCTTGAGGGGGACGACTTTGACGAAGTCTGCCGCCACCCACTTCTAAACCCACACTGGAACTTGATAAAGATGCGTCTCTCTCTCTCTTTTACTATGTATATTGCTGTTGCTAAATACTCGGGTGTTCCAGATGGCTCTGCCTGGGCTGCCTTTTTTATGTCTGTACTTATGCTCTCAACATTACTAGTTCATAAGGATAAAACCCAGAAAAGTTCTTTTATATTAAACAAATAAGATGTAATACCCATAGTCTATTGTGTAGTGTGTGTGTGTGTGTGTGTAGTGTGTGTGTGTGTAGTGTGTGTGTGTGTAGTGTGTGTGTGTGTGTGTGTGTGTGTAGTGTGTGTGTGTGTGTGTGTGTGTAGTGTGTGTGTGTGTGTAGTGTGTGTGTGTAGTGTGTGTGTAGTGTGTGTGTAGTGTGTGTGTAGTGTGTGTGTAGTGTGTGTGTAGTGTGTGTGTAGTGTGTGTGTAGTGTGTGTGTAGTGTGTGTGTAGTGTGTGTGTAGTGTGTGTGTGTGTGTACGTACACGTACGTGTCCGTCCCGTCGGTCGTAAATACACACGGGGTCTATAGTAGTCAGTGTTCTGAAGGCTGGTTTGTTAGAAGCTTATTTGTGGGTCTCTTTGACCCAGTCAAGCACTGACTGGTTCAGCATTGTTGCCTGTCTGCTGAACGAGTGAACAAACAAGTCACGAAAGCATATACAGTAAAGACGGATTACATACACAAACATTATGCTTCAAGAAAGTAATGAGAGCAAAAGCTAATGGCTTCACGATTCTTAATCGTCTCTCAAGCACCTCTCTATGTATCAAAATTTGGGACCAAAATATGATGTACAACAAATATAGTTTCTAGCCGATCAGGGTTCAGACCGTGGCTGCCAGTAAGGGTTCAAAGTGCAACACAGACCCCTCAGGTGGTGGTCTGAGTGTGACCGCCAATCACAGACCACTAAATAACAATTGAAAGTCTGCTAACATATCATTTAACTTGTGTATATTTTTATAGGGTTAAAAATATGACGAGTATTTTTTACTCAAAAAAATATTTTTTCCTCCCCCTCAGAGATATTTTAGGATATTATTGATCACAAACTTTGTATATTTGTACTGTAAATAATATTGTTTAATATTAAACAAATCCTAACAGTTGCTTCAATATCTAACAAAATAAAGATATATTTGAGACATTATTAGTTTCATTGATTTCCTTCTGTACTAGTGCAGGATTTATCACTTAAAACTTTGTATTAACCTTACTTGATACTCAACCATTGTGAGACCAAGTTTTAGATGCTTCAGCCCCCCCCCCCCTAACACATGCATGTAAACTACAGATTTTATTTAATATTTCCTCTAATATTTAATAAAATACATATATATTTCAGTCTGGTGTTGACAAAGGCTTTAACAGGCCGAAACGTTTACGTCCTTTCATAGTTCCATGTGGCTTTTCCGCATAAAAAATATCAGTGTTTAGTGATCGCCAATTGCATATATATTATATATATATATATATATATATATATATATATATATATATATATATATATATATATATATATATATATATATATATATAAAACTCCACACCCTAGAAGTGACTCGAACCCAGACAGCCAGGAGCACTATACAACTACCCAAGATTGAGAGAAAGACATTGAAACATCAAGATGAAATAAATCTTGTCTGGGCGTCCGCTATTATTTCACTAGGCCTGATATTTCCTCGCGTGGAATTGAAACATCAGGCACTGAATGTGGAAGCTCCCGGCGCTTCCTTAAAAAGAGAGATTCTAATCATCTCGTATAAAACCCGCGACCCTCTTAGTGCAATCCCATCCAATCTCTGGTGAATTCTTTTAACAAAAACAAACTCATGTCGTAACAAAAAATTAGAGAAAGTCGTTGAATGCTAAAAATTCGCTGTCCTTCAAGTACGATTATTGAGACAATAAAATACATATCAAAGGGATAGAGTAGCTTAGGCTATTTCTATCCTCTATTTCTAGGCTATTTCGCTGTCCCTCTAGTGAGCTATGAGGATGTGTTGACCAGGAGGGTGAAGACAATATATGTGATGTCTATGAAGGTCTCAACACACACACAAGCCAAGATGCTGACTTCCAAGCGGCTCCAGACACGAGCTGTGTAATATTTCAGAGAGACGCGACGATAACACTGATGGAGACTACCTCAGCGGGCTTGAAAGAGGTCGAGAAACCCGAATATTTTCTGATTGGTGTTGCTGGAGAAAAATATATTGGTGAAAAATGTTGTCTAGAGTCTGGAAGATGGACTGGCGAGAGGGGCGAATTTTATATAATGTGCTTATATTATTATTATATATTATAATAATATAAACCTATATTTGCTATAACCTAGCTATTTACATAATTCAAGCTTCAGCTCATGGGTCAGGCTCCTAGAACGACTGTCGTAGTAGAATGCTATGCAGCCTTGCATCCTATTGTTACTTTTTTTGCAAATCCACGTATTTAAGTCTTAATTTGTTTTAAGTGATTACCACTTATTCATTACTTTAACAATATCATAGACATAATTCTTTATCTTGATCAGTAGTTTAGCGATTTAACTTCCCTACCTGGATAGTACCTGGGAGTTCTTCTTTCATGACTTGTGAGAGCTTGGTCCACCAGGCTGTTGCTTGGAGCGGCCCGCTGGCCCACATATCCACTACAGCCCGGTTGGTCCAACACTTCTTGAAGAAAACCCTCCAATTTTTTATTGAAGATTTCCACTTTTGTTCCGGCACTATTTCTTATACTGTATACTTGGTGGGAAGATCCTGAACAACTCTGTGTGTTATCGCCATGATAACCAGTTTAGTTTAGTTCATTTATTATGCACCCCATACCCATCTTGTGGGCGGTAGTGGAAAGGGTTACAGAGGCACATAATGGGCTCAGGGACTGAACCCCACAATTCTAAGCTAGTTACAATCTTGATGAGCTAGTTACAAAATTCAATGTAAGTCGTCACATCAACAATGGGCTCGAGATCGACCACAAGTACAGTTTCTAAATTGATGATAACCATATCGAACAGTTTATCCTGGTAAAAGTTAACCATATCAGAATATTTTGATAACTTAAACGTCGTGATTATGATTCCCTGACGTGAAAATATGACTATTTTCCCCATAAGTCATACATCATGGCGGGAAGCCTATCAATATTATCTAGTTTCCTAATGTTCTTGCAACCCGTTCTCGCACTTTCTTATAGTCAATATTGACTTATTAAATACGTGCATATGTGACATACTAATTTATTGTGAATATTTTAGTTTACCTTGAAAAGCTTCATAGAAAACACCAACCTCACCTAACCTTCTTAGTATGTTAAGATAAGCATCTTATTGCTTCGTAATTACAGTTATTACTTAACCTATACCTATAATAGGTTAAGTAATAATTGTAATTAAGAAGCAATAAGATGCTTATCTTAACAAACTAAGAAGGTTAGGTAAGGTCGGTGTTTTCTATGAAGCTTTTCAAGGTAAACTAAAATATTGACAATAAATTAGTATGTCACATATGCACTTATTTAATAAGTCAATATTGACTATAAGAAAGTGCGAGAACGGGTTCTGTTTTTGACTAGGCAAGGCCGCACCTAATGCCTCTGTTCACCTAGCAGTAAATAGGTGCCCGGGAGATACAGTCAACTGTTGTGGGGGTTGAATTGTGGGGAATTGTGGTTTCTAATTTGATCTTGGAGGGGACCACGATACAAGCCTAATGTATGTACACACACACACACACAGACTTCCTGTCCCTGAGGAAACGAATTATATTGTTACTAGCAAGGAAAAGACCTCAAGACCTCGCTTCATGCAGGTCGGCGTTCAATCCCCGACCGTCCAAGTGGTTGGGCACCATTCCTTTTCCCCCCCGTCCCATCCCAAATCCTTATCCAGACCCTTTCTAAGTGCTATATAGCCGTAATGGCTTGACGCTTTCTCCTGATAGTTCCTTCCCTTCCACAAGCACGGCCGTTTGCACAATATATATTATAAAAAATAGAAATAACCTCTCCCGTTCATTTACAACATCATAAAATCTATAAATGAAAGATCTAATTCACCAATAAAATAACGCAGTCAAATTGAACCGGACAACTGGGCGGGCCTGGGGCCAGATTCACGAAGCAGTTACGCAAGCGCTTACGAACCTGTACATCTTTCCTCAATCTTTGACGGCTTTATTTACAATTATTAAACAGTTTACAAGCATGAAAGTTTCACAATCAACTGTTGTTATTGTTATAAACAGCCACCAGGTGGTTCGGAACTCATTAACTGTTTGATAATTGTAAACAAAGCCACCAAAGATTGAGAAAAGATGTACAGGTTCGTAAGTGCTTGCATAACTGCTTTGTGAATCTGGCCCCTGCTCCGGCTAACTGTCGACTATCATGCCCATTCGGCTTTTGGAACCGAACCCCTCTCGGCTCCCTCTATTTGTCTATGATAAAATAAAAATAGAGGACAATGATGGAAGGCTCACCATTTGGTCCGGGAGACATCTCCCGTCACGCAGGGTGCAGTCGCACCTCCACAGATCTCCAGTATCAGCTCTTGATACTGGTAATGGCTCAAAAGGGCCACCACTTACGGGCTATTCATGCCCGTGCCACCTCTTGGGTAGCTTAATCTTCATCAATCAATCAATCAATGGAAGGTTGGCAGTGTCTCAACCATTCAATGTGTGTGTTTTTGTCTCTCTCTTGGTCTTATCAGCACGCTGGCAGCACATGCCTGCTGCTGGCCAATCGTTTGTCTTGTTAAAAATAATGGTAGCCAATAAACAACAACCTTTATGTTCCATCATATCGGGATAGAGCCAAATTTGGCGATTGAAAAAGGGAGAGCGAGAGAAAGGAAGAGAGGAAAGTGGAGGGAGACAAAGAGTGGGATATATGGAATGGAAGAGGGGTGAGTGGGAAGGGGGAGGAGGAAGGAGGGGGGTAATGACAGAAAACGTTAATTTCCGTCTGACAAAGAAAATGTACCGAGCGCTGGGAAACAGGCCTGACTTAGGTATTTTTTGGAATGTTTAAGACAAAAGCCTTTGGGTTCTTGTTTGGGGTCCGACTTACTGCCCTCACCTAAACCCCGACGCTGTAGACTTTTGACAAACATTTGATCGCAGACATAAATTATTATATGCAGAAACAAAGAAAAACAACGCTGAGGGGCAGCTGCAGGATTAGTAAAAGTACACGCTTCATGTTTCATAGGAACAAAAAGCACTCGACACCCCCTTCCTATGTGACACAGCACCGCTCCTGTGCCAGGTAAGTCCATTACGGGCTCACCATAGCC